CTTTCTTTGTCTTTGGTTTTGGTGAGTTCGATGATGCTGTCTTGGTGATTTTCTTTTGGGGTCTATCCTGTTTGGGGTTTGTTGGACTTCCTGAATGGATATATTCTCATCTTTCATCACACCAGGAAAATTCTCTTCCAACAAATCTTCAGCAGTTTTCTCTGTGGTTTTATTTTTCTCATCCTGTTCTGGTATTCCAATGACAAGTAGGTTATTCCTTTTGATGGTATCCCACATGAACCTTAGGGTTTCTTAATTTTGTTTTATCTTTTTTCTGATTGATCCCTTTCCAAAGAAGTATTGAGGTATTTGCCTTCAATCTCACTAACTCAGTCTTCCATTGATTCAATTCTACTCCTTTGCCCATCCAATGTCTTACCTATTTCTGAAAATTTAGTATTAATCTTCTGGATTTCTGTGTGTAGATTTTGTATCATTTCCAATTTTTCATTTATTTTGTCATTTTGTTCTTGTATTATCTTTCAAAATTGTTGTATGGTTTTTTCTGTGTTTTCCTCAATTTTGCAAGTGTTTTCCTTGATCTGCCTTTCAATTTGTTGAAGATACCTAAATATAATTCTTTTGAATTCCTTGTCACAGAGTTCCAATGCTGTGTCTTCCTCAGGGATGTGTCTGGCTCTATATCCTGGTCCCTTGTTTCTCCTGCTTTATTTTGCTTTTTTGAGTGGACTGTGATGCTCTGTTGTCTCTGCGGCATTGTAATATTTTAGGGTTTGCATTTAATTGGTGATTGTACGTTGGAGTACAAACAAAAGAAGAAAATGAAAGTCATGGGCAAGTCACTCCAACATTATTGTTGTTGTTGTTATATACTATAACAACAACAACAACATTGGAGTGACTTGCCCATGACTTTCATTTTCTTTCTTTTGTTTGTATGTTATCTACATAAGCAGGGTACTGTGCTGTGCTTCTCTATTCACTAGTTGACAGCACTTGTACACTGACCACCTGTCTCCTTTCCTCCTTTCCTGTTGTCAGCCTCTCATATGTCCCTGCTGACCTTGGCAAACGGAGTCTATTCTTAGTTCCCTGGAATCTGAATGAGAATGCTATCACTTTAAAATAAAAAATGGCTGCCACTTGTAAAGATTCAAAATGGCTGCACCCTTGGTCACTTTAAATATGCAAAATGGCCACTGATTGTAAACATTCAAAATGGCTGTGCCCTCGGTCACTTTAAATATCCAAAATGGCTGCCATGCATAAATAATCAAAATGGCTGCACCCTCCAGACAGGGGAAAGTCCACAGCTCAGGTTGTCTCCCTCCTTGTTGTTTCCCTTCCTAGTAATAGGCCACCAATGCAGTTGTCCCTGCAGCCCTTGGTGACCAGGGCTGATCTTTAGGTCAATTCTCAGGTCCCAACACCACTTGGGAATATTCAGGCTGTTGGTCCTGTCAGAGTGGCTGACAGTCTGCAGCTCCGACCATCTCTGTACTCACTGTTTTCATTCAAGTTTTCCCACTAGTCAGTGCCTAATCCACTTCTGTATAGTTCCTTTCAAAGCTCAAGGCTCCAAGATTATCTTCTGTATCTCTGTCAATTGGTTTTTCTTTTCTTTGTTTAAGAGGGTCTGTGTCACTTGTCTGCCTAGTTCTACATCTTACCCTTGAAAGAGGTTTTTTTGTAGCAGATTTTCCCAATACAATATGTTGTCTGATGTGTTGACTGCTGCTTCCATTGGTGTTGATTGTAGAACCAAGTAATGTAAAGTCTTTGTTCTTTGTTCTAACCAGTATGTACACAGTGAGATAGCTCAGGGAACAGGAATGCATGTGAAAGAAGGACACAGGGAAGAGGTAAGTATAGGGAGGAAGTGGGAAAAAACTGTTACCTTGTGGGGAATTGCAGTCAATGTCATGAAATAAAATGTGTATGAACTGCTGCATGGAAAATGAATTTGCTTTATAAACTTTCACTCAAATCACAATAAAAATTTAAAAAATAAAAAGAATTTAGATTGCCCCATCTTCCTCCCATGGAGCTGTCGTGGCTTGAAACCACTGACATTCTCGTTAGCAGCCAAATGCCTTAAGCACTGCGCATCCAGAGCTCCTCTCCATAAACATTGCAGCCAAGAAAATCCTATAGAGCTCAGTTCTTCTCTGTAATACATGGAGTTTCAATGTGTTAGAATCAACTAGACAGCAAGAGGAACTTGCAAATTGTTAACATACTTGTCCTGGTGATTTACTTCTGAGAAATCAGACTTTGAAAATGCTGTGGAGCATAGTTCTACTTTGACACATATAGGATCACCATGAGTCAGAGTTGACTTGACAACTACTTTTTTTTTTTAAGAAACATCATGATTAGAAACCTGGAGATAATAACATATTCCCAAGAAGGGTTACAAATCACCTTTCCTAATTTTTTTTCTTCCTAGAAATGTGAATTGATGACATCTTAAGTCTTAGAAGCTTGACTCTATGTCTGTTTTCCTCTAACCTTATAAATTTTCATAGAGGAGACAGAATTGGGCTTGAAGCCTTCTCTTTCAAAAAGAAAATATATGTGAGACCCAAATAATCAAATATTGACCCATTGTTAACTGAGATAATTATGTCCCTTTTTAATTCATAATGTTAATTGGTGAGACATTTTGTTCCTTATTCTAACCAGACTATCTCTTTTATTTCATTCAGGTGTTGGAAAAGGTAACGGGGAGGATCTGAAATTACAAGTAATAATGCACAAAGAGCTTGTGTTTTTCTGCTCTTTTTCTAAAAACTGCAGGGTAAGAAAAAGCATATGAACTGAAAAAGTTGGTGCTTGTTTTGAAAGTCAATACTAAATCGGTGTGTTGACTTTCCCCAACCATCACTCAACCACAGAGAGACCCCATGTTGCTTTCTCTTCTAACTATGTGTCACTGGGCTCTGATGCCAGCCCAAACTCAATGAACCAGTTTCTTCAAAACAGGTTTTTCAGGCATCTTTCAGAACATATTTTCAGTTCAGAGTGTTGCTTTACCTTTATGTTCCCATAAATATCAAACATGTTCCTAGAAATCTGTCAGGGTTTTAAATACATGTATCTGATCATTTTTAGCTATACTCTCTTCTTGATCATTTTATCTTTTGCTATATAGCACTGATTCTCAAATTTTAGTGCGCTGGAAAATCATCTAGGAGTTTGACAAAATACAGAGTCCTAGGTTGTATCCCTGAGTGTGTTCCTCCCTTTTGATTTTCTAACTCCAGGTCTTTGCAAATTTCCTTATAATAATTGGCTTTATCTTCTCAAACTGATCTTTGAACTCTGTTCAGCTCTTTAATCTTGTCATTTCTTTCATTTGTTTTGGCTATTCTCCATTCAAGGGCAAGTTTCAGAGTCTCTTCTGACATCCATTTTGGTCTTTTCTTCCTTTCCTGTTTTTTTAATGGTCTCTTGCTTTCTTCATGGATGAAGTTCTTGATGTCACCCCATAAGTCCTCTGGTTTTCAGTCACTGGTGTTAAATACATAAAATCTATTCTTTAGATAGTCTCTAAATTCAGGAGGCATGTAATCAAGGTCATATTTTGGCTCTCATGGAACTTTTAAAAATTGTCTTCAACTTCAACTTGAACTTGCATATGAGCAGTTGATGGTCTGTCCCACAATCAGCTCCTGGCCATGTTTTGGCTGAAGATATTGAACTTCTCCATTGCCTTTTGCCACAGATGTAGTCAATCTGATTCCCATGTATTCCATCTGGCAAATTCCACATGTATAGCCAAAAGGGAAGAACACACTCGGCATTTCTCAAGCTGAAAGAACTGTAGAAAATATTTTAAGCTTCAAGTTGCAATATTGAAAGATACAGGAAACATAAAAGAATATGGAAGAAATACACAGAGTCACTGTACCAAAAAGAATTGGAATGTTCTTCCATTTCAGGAGGTGGCATATGACCAAGCATCAATGGTACTGAAAGAAGAAGTCAAGGCTGAAGGAATTGGTGAAAAACAAGGCTCCTGGAATTGACAGAATACCCATGGAGATGTTTCAACAAACAGATGCCATGCTGGAGGCACTCACTCGGCTATGCCAAGAGATTTAGAAGACAGCTACCTGGCCAACTGACTGGAAGAGATCCATATTTGTACCCATTCCAAAGAAAGGTGATCCCACAGAATGTGGAAATTATAGAACAATATCATTAATATCACATGCAAGTAAAATCTTACTGAAGATAATTAAAAAATGATTGCAGCAGTATATTGACAGAGAACTTCCAGAAATGCAAGCTGGATTCAGAAGAGGATGTGGAATGAGGGATATCATTGCTGATGTCAGATGGATCTTGGCTCAAGGCGAAGAATACCAGAAAGATGTTTACTTGTGTTTTATTGACTATGCAAAAGCATTCAATTGTGTGGATCATAACAAATTCTGGATAACATTGAGAAGAATGGGAATTCCAGAACACTTAATTGTATTCATGAGGAACCTGTACATAGACAAGGAAGCTGTCATTTGAACAGAACAAGGGGATACTGCATGGTTTAAAATCAAGAAGGGAGTGTATCACAGTTGTATCTTTTCACCATACTTATTCAGTTTGTATGCTGAGCAAATAATCAGAGAAGCTGGATTATATGAAGAAGAGCATAGCATCAGGATTAGAGACTCATTAACAATCTGCAATATGCAGATGACACCACTTTGCTTGCTGATAGTGAGGATGACTTGAAGCACTTACTGATGAAGATTGAAGACTACAGTTTGCAGTATGGATTGTTGTTGTTGTTGTTGTTATGTGCCTTCAAGTAAGACCCAACTCATAGTGACCCCTCCTTGGGTTTCTGAGGCAGTATCACTACAGAAGTAGATTGCCCCATCTTCTTTCCAAGAAGTGGCTGGGGGTTTGAACTGCCAGCCTTCTGGTTAGCAGTCAAGTGCCTTAGGCACTACGCTACCAGAGCTCCTGCAGTACGGATTACACATAAATATAAAAAAACAAAAACCCTACCAATTAGACTAATAAGCAGCATCACAATAAATGGAGAAAAGGTTGAAGTTGTCGAAGACTTCCTATTATTTGGCTCTACAGTCAACACCAATGAAAGCAGCAGTCAAGACATCAGATGACGTATTGCATTGGGCAAATCTGCTGAAAAAAAAAAAAAAAAAAACCTCTTTCAAGTGCTGAAGAGCATATATGTCTCCTTGAAGACTAAGGTGTGCCTAACCAAGGCCATGGTATTTTCAATTCCTCTTACGCATGTAAGAGTTGGGCAATGAATAAGGAAGACAAAAGAAGAATTGATGCTTTTGAGTTGTGTTGGTGAAGACTACTGATAGTACCAAGGACTACTAAAAGAACTAACAAATCTGTCCTGGAAGAAGTGCAGCTGGAATGCTCTTTGGAAGGGAGAATGGCCACACTTCGTCTCATGTACTTTGGTCATGTTGTGAGAAGGAACCATTCCCTGGAGGATATCATACTTGGTAAAGTGGAGGGTCAATGAGAAAGGGGAAGGCCCTCAATGAAATGGATTGACACAGTGGCTGCAATGATGGGCTCAGGTATAGCAGGGATTGTGAGGCTGTCTCAGGATCAGGCAGTGTTTCTTCTGTTGTACATTGGGTGGCTATGAGTCAGAGATGACTGGATGGCACCTAACAACAACAACAAGGTTGTACCCTAAAAATGTGATTCAGGAAATCTAGAATGGTGTCTAAGAATCTGCAGACCAAACAATGCCCCAAGGGATTCTAATTCAGGTGTCCTATGGCCCCATGTATGGGAAACAATGCAAGAGTGTATGGATTGGAGAGAAAGCTCTCCAAAGAAATGGGAACTGGTGGTCAAATTTTACTGAAATGTTGAAGAAATGCCTAGGATTGGAAACTTTCCTGAAGCAATAAGAAAGCTTCCTTCATGAGCCTGAGAAATGTAAACTTCTAAAACTCACTTGCAGGCTTTCATCCCTAGTTCTCCTGTTTCAATCTATATATGCTGAGCAACAGCATTCCTTTCCCTTCTCTGTGGCCTTCCTTAACTGAGAACATTCACCCAGGCCTAACCCTTGGGTTTCTGTTCTTATCTCCACAGATTCTTTATCGGTTTTTTGGTTATGCCCAACCGTTTTTCTGCTTTAAACTATCATTTGTTTTTTACTTTATACCACAGATACTTACAAGTAGTGTGTGCTAAGCAATATGGGAAATTCCACACATCAAGATTTATCAAATGAACTTCTCATCTGCTTTTGCAAGTGGCACCAGCATTCTCCCACTCCTGATCCTTAAAATGTGATACTATCTTTGATCTTCTCTTTGCTGTAGCTCCGTAAATGCAGTTAGTCACCAATATCTATTGGTTATGTCTTTGAAATCTCTTAATCTTTTAATCTCTTAACTTTTAATTTCTCTTAATGTTTTTTTTTTCCCAATGTTTTCCCAGTGTGTCTCGATTGAATTCTGTTTTCCTTCTCCTCTTCATTTATCTAAGTCTTCCAATCCCTGCTCAATACCTACTTCCTCTGTGAAGCTTTCTCATTCTCCACCTCCTGTTGTTGTTGTTGTTGTTATGTGCTGTCGAGTAGGCCCCCAACCACCTCCTGTTAGGCTCCCTTAATGTGCACGCCACCACATTCAGTCTTCACTCAGCACTTCATTAAGTGCCATTCTGCTATTGTTCCCTACTTATATAGCTCCCTGAAGTCACCAACTGTGTCTACAACTTCTATATTTTTCACAATGCTTAATGTAGACATTTCTCTTTGTGGGTGCCATTATTATACAAGGGTAAGTCAATAACAAACATATTGTTAGTATAGGTTCAAAGTTTCTCATTCCAGGAACTTAACCTATCTTTGGTCACTCCATCCAATATCCTGCAATAGGCAAGGCATATAATTCCATCAACAAGCATAATGTTTTTGGTAAAATGTGATCAATTATGCATTACTTTCTGAATGCCATGCCAGCTTTGAAATGTATCTTCTTAGGGTATTCTTAAAAGGGTTCACAATGTGAAAATCAGGTCACACACATTCAATAATGATCATTTATTACAAGGAAAGACTACATGGTTTAAAATCAAGAAGGGAGTGCATCAGGGTTGTATCCTTTCTCCACATTTATTCAATCTATATATGCTGAGCAAATAATCCGAGAAGCTGGACTATATGAAGAAAAACGTGGTATCAGGATTGGAGGAAGAATCATTAACAACCTGAGATACGCAGACGATACAACTTTGCTTGCTGAAAGTGAGGATGACTTAAGGCACCTACTGATGAAGGTTGAAGAATACAGTCTGCAGTATGGATTACGTCTCAATATAAAGAAAACAAAAATCCTCACAACTGGACCAATGAGCAGCATCACAATAAATGGAGAGAAGATTGAGGTTGTCAAGGAATTCACGTTTCTTGGTTCTACAATCGATGCCAACGGAAGCAGCAGTCAGGACATTAGACGACGTGTAGCATTGGGAAAGTCAACTGCGAAGGAACTGTATGTATCAAGTGCTGAGGAGCAAGGATATCTCCTTGAGGACAAAGGTGCACCTGACACAAGCCATGATATTTCCAATCGCCTTGTATGCATGTGAGAGCTGGACAATGAATAAGGAAGACCGAAGAAGAGTTGATGCTTTTGAGTTGTGGTGCTGGCGGAGAATGATGAAAGTACCATGGACTGCTAAAAGAACTAACAGATCTGTTCTGGAGGAAGTGCAGCCAGAATGCTCCTTGGAAGCAAGAATGGCCAGACTTCGTCTCACCTATTTTGGTCATGTTGTAAGAAGGGACCATTCCCTGGAGAAAGATGTCATGCTTGGTAGGGTGGAAGGTCGACGAAAGAGGGGGAGGCCTTCAACGAGATGGATTGACACGGTGGCTGCGATGATGGGCTCAAGTATAGCAGGGATTGTGGGGCTGGCGCGGGATCGGGCAGTGTTTTGTTCTGCTGTGCATGGGGTCGCGATGAGTCGGAAACAACTCGATGGCACTTAACAACATAACAACAACAGAAAATGAATACTTTGCTTTCCAACAGTGCCCCACCATAACCACCAAACATTTAAAAGGCAATGTTGTAACTGTTTTTTGTTTAGTTGCAACTGTACAGAAATGATGGTTAACTGTTCTGTATTGTTGTTGTGTTGTTATGTGCCGTGGAGTCGGACCCGACTTATAGCGACCCCTCCTTGGGCTTCCAAGGCAGTATCACTGTGGAAGTAGCTTACCCAACCTTCCCTCTGAGGAGTGGCTGGTGGGTTTGAACTGCCAGCCTTCTGGTTAGCAGTCAAGTACCATAGGCACTATGCTTCTATATACATGTAATAATGAACCTATAAGGAGCCCTGGTGCCACAACAGTTAAGTGGTTGGCTGCTAACTGAAAGACTGGTGGTTCAAACCAACCAGAAGCTCCATGGGGAAAGACCTGGTAATCTGATCCCATAAAGAGTCCAAACCAATCCAAAACTAGTCCCATGAAACCAATTCCAACTCATAACAATCCTATAGGACAGAATAGAATTGCCCCCAGGGTTTCCAAGGCTGTAAATCTTTATAGAAACAGATATCCACACCTTTCTCCCAAGCAGCAGCTAGTGGTTTTAACTACCAACCTTTGGTTGTCAGCTGAGCACTTTAATCACTATGCTACCAGGACTCCATGCTGAAATGATTACAGCCTAGAAAATCTTATGGAGCAGTTATCTGTCACATGGGATTGATGTGAATTGAAACTTGACTCGAAGGCACCTGACAACAACAAGACTATGAGAAGAAGAACACTTGTTAAATATGGGAAGCCTGGTGTTTTTGTTCTTCAGTGGTGCTATAACAAATACCACAAGTGGATGGCTTTAACAAACAGGAATTGATTCTCTTATAGTTTGTTGTTGCTGTTGTTCTTGTTAGATGCCATCGAGTCAGCTCCAACTCATAATGACCCTATGTATAACAGAACAAAACACTACGTGGTCCTGTGCCAGCCTCACAATCTTTGCTATACCTGAGCCCATCATTGCAGCCACTGGATCAATCCATCTCATTGAGGGTCTTCACCTTTTTCACTGACCCTCCACTTTACCAAGCATGATATCCTTCTCCAAGACCAAAGCAGGTCAGATGAATCAGATGAAGTCTGGTCATTCTCGCTTCCAAGGAGCATTCCAGTCGTATCTCTTCCAGGACAGATTTGTTAGTTCTTCTGGCAGTCCATGATACTTTCAATATTCTTCACCAACACCACAACTCAAAAGCACCAACTCGTCTTTGGTCTTCCTTATTCACTTTCCAGGTTTCACAGGCATATGAGGCAATTGAATACCATTTTTTGATTAGGCACACCTTAGTTTTCAAATAGACATCTTTGCTCTTCAGCCCTTTAAAGAAGACTTTTGCAGCACATTTGCCCAGTGCAATACACTGTTGATTTCTTGGATGCTACTTCCATTGCTTTTGATATAGTTTAGGAAGCTAGAAGTGCCAGCTTTAGGGGCTGGGTAAAGGCCCGTCAACCTTGGGCTTCAGTTCTGCCTCCTGTCCCAGGTCCACTAAAGCTGGAGACTTTTTCTGACTTATGCAGCTGCTAGCTTCTGAGGCTGATGAATCCAAGATCAAAAGGTAAAATGGCACATTCTCAAGATTAGCAGACAACATACAGACCACTAGTTCAAGTCCAGGAACAATCCCACGATCAGCAGGCAACATGGCAGGACATTGAGATGAAGACTCAGCCAAATGCAGGATCCAGATGTGCCAAAAGTAAAGACCTTTCTCAATCTTCTCCTTACATACTAGAAGCAGGCCACACCCCAAAGGCAGCTTCTCAGCTGCTCACAGTAGATTCCACCATGGAGCTGGTTACAATCTCATCAGGGAATAATTACATCCAGCTGTCCAGCCACTTCAAACCATGGCCCAGCCAAGTTGACATACAACCTTAACTATCACACCTGGATAAGAGAAATTTTACTGTTATACTAATCATCTCATCATCAGCTAAGCTTAATAGTACTGCATTTCATGTGTTCATTCACAGATGTATTATGATGCTGAAACAAACAGAGTAATAATTAATCCAATCAACTGTCCATATCTGTGTGATGATGTGAAAATGAAATTTTTTTCTTCAGTAAGTAATTTCTAAATTGTTTTTGTCTAGTCTTTTGAATGATTTTGATTTGGAATTTCCTTTACTACAGCTTCCAACAAAGGAGATGACAGGAGAGAGAGTCATTGCCTAGTGAGGGAGGGAGAGAAAAACATTCAGTCTTATCTAAACAACAATGACAAAAGAAAAAACTGTTAATTTAATTTTTTTTAACTTTTGCTGATTGTTTTTTCTAAGTTCTATACAATTTGTAGGTGCAGGGGGGAAGTGCCCGGCTGCTAAATGAAAGGTTCAAACCCACTAGCTGCTCCATGGGAGAAAGATATGGCAGTCTGCTTCCATAAAGGTTACAGCCTTGGAAAGAGTTCTACCCTGTCCTATAGGGTTGCTATGAGTTATTTTTATTTTTTCAATTATGAAATAAGAAAAAAAAAATTTAAAAACCAAGGTACTGAAACAAGGACAGTTTGTGTGTGTGTGTGTGTGTGTGCATAGCAGTGATCCATATATTTGTTTTCTCTTGAAATAAATTGTTCCCCATAATTTATAAAATACTTTAAAGATTTTACTTTCCTCTAAACTAATTATAGGTTACAAATTAATTCCATACTTAGTTCATGAAAATTGAGAATGTTTCCCACTGTCTTTGGAAGCTACTCTTGTAGGTATACTCTGAATACCTGAATGTGAATGATATTTAGTCATATTAAATTGTATGTCTGCATATTATTCTGTATATGACAAACTTCTAAGCCTCAGAAGTTTCATTTTCCTATCAAACCATCAATCACAACTGCCAACAAGAAACTGTGTTGTTGTTGTTGTTGTTGTTATGTGCCATCGAGTCGGACCCAACTCATAGCAACCCCTCCTTGGGTTGCCGAGGCAGTATCACTACGAAAGTAGATTGCCCAACCTTCCTTCCAGGAGTGGCTGGTGGGTTTGAACCGCCAGCCTTCTGGTTAGCAGTCAAGTGCCTTAGGCTCTATGCTACCAGAGCTCCTTAAGTAACTGTGTAGACCAATTTAAATCTTATTTCCTGGGTCCCCCTTCCTCCCTGCTTATGCCCTGCTGGGGAGTACTCTCTTGATATTGAAATGGTAAGTGTGTTGAGCCTAGTGACTATCCAGATAGTTCCCATACCTTTGAATAATGGAGCCAGTCTGAATTCTCTCTCAAACTCTCAGCAGAAGTATGGGGGCACGGGCCCGGGAACTTTGGTAAAATCCAGCCTTTGTGATTGCCAAGGGCCATGAGATTAAAGTACTTTCAAATTTTTTTAGGTATTTTTGGGATTATCATCAACAATAACAATGGTTAATTATTCAATATATCTGTTCCTTGCAAAAATTGATAATATATTTGGGGATAAACAGGCTTAAGTCCTTAGTAGATTCTGTTTAGCATTATGTGGATCAGTTTAAAGGACCAGTGCTAAGTTTCTGAATACCTACCATGGAAAAATTAATTTCCTTGATAATTTTGATATAAACAGCAAGAGAAAGGAACAGCATTCTCTTAAAGCCTCTTCTTTGTATTCTGTGTTTATTGTGTAATAGACTATGGAGTGCAGCATACTTAGTGACTACAGCTGATTGATAAATACGAAAATGAACAATTGTACTACTTATAATTAATGAATTTTAGTCACTTTGGAATGATAAATTCTTGGTATCGATTTTATTATGAAAAATAATCTTTGTTCTTTTTTTTTTTTTAACCATGTACTTTTAGGGTCTTCAAAGATACTATGACAACTGCTCTTTTTACTTTTGGTTCAATACATCTTTTATACAAAATCAGAGGTATGGTTATGATATAATCCTACAAAAATAGCTTGAGCTTCAGTGTAAGGGTATCATAAACTCAACTTATGATTGTTATAGAAACAAACAAAATCCTCAAGTCACCATTCTTCATTGCCTTACTTATCCTAGTCCAGTTATTATTAAATATAGCTATACTAGAGACCCATTTCATATTATCCCCAAGGTCCATGCTATTAGACTATGTTGTTGTTGTTATGTGCCGTCAAGTCAGACCCGACTCGTAGCAACCCCTCCTTGGGTTTCCGAGGCAGTATCACTATGGAAGTAGATTGCCCAACCTTCCTTCCAGGGAGCGGCTGGTAGGTTTGAACTGCCAGCCTTCTGGTTAGCAGTCAAGTGCCTTAAGCACTATGCTACCAGAGCTCCATTAGACTATGTTATAAGTTAAAAAATATTATAGGCAGGTCTTGGGTGTGATAATAAATGCCTCCCATAGAAGTTTCAGGTGAGTCAGCTCAGTGTCTCACACATGGCAGGTCTTAAGTGAGCAGATGGAAAAAGCCAACTACGAAATAGCTTTTCTGAGAATCTAATTATGGCAAGCAGATATTTTAATTTTTTTAAAGTTCTAATGAGGGTGTCCCTACTACATGCCTTTTCTTTCAGCCCTAAAATAAAATGCAATTTTCTTTCTAATTGTAGGCTTTATCTTCCAAGGAGTGAATTGGATAATCCACACAAGTCAAAAACATGGCATATTTATCAACGAGATTTTGCAGTAGAATTATATTTTGAATGAGACATACCCTATGGCTGTATTGTAGCTGGTACCTCATTTTAACTACAGATATCATTTTAGCATACAATCATGTTGTCCCTACCCTGTAAATGTTTATATCTTTTAAAATATATATGTAGAATTCTATTAAATTTGATTAAATGTTTGTATTTACAGATCTTTATTTCTTTTTTGAAAGATTACACTTCAAAGTTTCTATCTTGCTGTTGAGGTAAAACTGGAGCATGGGGACATTAAGCATCATTTTGAAGAACTTCCAAATAATAGAATTACCATATTAAAATAATTGCGATGTTTAAAATCTCCCCACCCCAATGCTGGGCATTTAATTTATTTATACATGCTTGGACAGTATTTCTGGAGCTCTAGTGGCATAGTGCCTAAGGCATTTGACTGCTAACCAGAAGGCTGGCAGTTCAAACCCACCAACCACTCCTCAGAAGATTGGACAATCTACTTCTGTAGTGATACTGCCTCAGAAACCCAAGGAGGGGTTGCTATGAGTCAAATCTGACTCGATGGCAGTGAGTTTTGTTTGAGTCTGGTTTTGGACAGTATTTATTGTGTACTTTTAATTTTATATTTGTAATTTCAGATTTATTGAAAATGTAATTTCTACTTCCTTTCTCCATTTGATCTACAAACCATTAACAAACATCAGATTAGCAATAAAGACTAAGTTTTAAATCCAGAAAAGTGAAATGTTTCACTACCAGCCCTCATACAGATACTTTTCATGGAGCTCCAAGGACCACATGGGTTGCTTACATGACAGCCTTTCTCTAATTACACACATGAACATAACATGTGCACCCCATCCTAAGTGAAGCTAAAAGAAATATTTACTTTTTAATCAATCAAGATTTATTGTTATAAACCTACTACCCCTACTCCAAGTGAAATGAACTGCACACAACCAACTTTGATAGGCTTGGGGAATTCTAGGAAGACAAGCTCCCTTTTCATTATAAACACTGATTATTCCTCTATTGTTGTTGCTATGGAGTTGATTCCAACTCCTGGCAATTCCATGTATGCGGCAGTAGAACTGAGCTCCCTGGGGTTTTTAATGGCTGTGATTTTTCCAAAATGGATCACCAGAATTTTTTCTAAAGCACCTCAGGGTGGGCTCAAATCTCCAACCTTTCAGTCAGCATCCAAGCATGTTAATTATTTAAACTACCCAGGAACTCCTTGGAAAATCGATATTTTTCACTTTGGTAGTGGGTGCTAGTGCTGGAAGCTGCTTTAAGTACCTTCACGGGTACTGTATGTTAAGGCCAAAATTGTCCTTGAAAATAGTTTTAGGAATTCCGGTGAGATGGAGGAATAGGCAGACAAATGACACAGACCCTCTTCAACAAAGAACAGAAAAACCAATTGACAGAGATACATAGGATAATCCTGGAACCCTGAGCATTGAAAGGAACTATACAGAAGTGGATTAGGCACCAACTAGTGGAAAAACCTGAACAAAAACAGTGAGTATAGAGACGGTTGGAGCTGCAGACTGTCAGCTATTCTGATGAGACCAACAGCCTGAATATTTCCAAGTGGTATTGGGACCTGAGAATTGACCTAAAGATCAGTCCTGGTCACCAAGGGCTTCAGGGACACCTGCGCTGGTGGCCTATGACTAGAAAGGGAAACAGCAAGGAGGGAGAAAACCTGAGCTGTGGACTTTCTGCTGTCTGGAGGGCGCAGCCATTTTGAATTGCTTACAAGTGGCAGCCATTTTGGATATTTAAAGTGACCGAGGGCACAGCCATTTTGAATGTTTACAAGTGGTGGCCATTTTGGATATTTAAAGTAACCGAGGGTACAGCCATTTTGAATGTTTACAAGTGGCAACCATTTTGTATTTTAAAGTGATAGCATTCTCATTCGGATTCCAGGGACTTAAGAACAGGCTCTGTTTGCCAGGGTCAGCAAGGACATATGAGAGGCTAACAAAGGAAAGGAGATAGGTGGTGAGTGAAGAAGTGCTGTCAACTAGTGAATAGAGAAGCACAGCACAGTACCCTGTCTGTATAGATAACATAAAAACAAAAGAAAGAAAATGAAAATTGTAGGTAAGTCACTCCAACATATAATCACCAATTCAATATAAACACAAAAACGCCACAATGCCTTGGAGACAACAGAGCAACACAGTCCACACAAAGAAGCAAGATAAAGCAGGAGAAACAAGGGACCGGGATATAGACCCAAAACACATCCCTGAGGAAGACTCAGCATTGGAACTCCTTGATAAGGAATTCAAAAGAGTTGTATTTAGGTATCTTCAAAGGGTTAAGAGACCAAGGAGAAAACAGAAAAAAACCTAGAAGAATTGTGGAAGAAAATACAAGAACAAAATGACAAAATAAATGAAAAATTAGAAATGATTCTAAATCTACAG